GGACTTTTGTATTGCTTGCAATGCTTTGACGGTTGCTTGTATTATTATATTTCACTTTTTTCTCAAATTTATAAATGAGATTTGGCAAGTTACGAAGTTCTTTAGTTAGTTCGTATACTGTAGAAGCCCTAAAATATTTGTAGCAATAATTACACGCGAAAATTGCTAACAAGTGTATGACATGTTTAGTTTAGACTTTTATCTCATATAAATGCCCATTAATTGAAAAACAATATTTTAGTAAAATGGAATATTTATATATATACGTATTTTCTCCAAAAATCTTTTAAAGATAAATGACTTTTCTGGGAAGACTTTATTTCAGTTTTACTGTGAAACACTTAAACTATATCATTATAATCAGTATTTATAAATCTTATATATAATGATTTCTAAAATTTAATGTAACTCGTGCTAAGATTGATACATGTCATAATTATGATGACTCATTATTATGTTGTCAACGCGCTATAGTCAAGACCATTTATGCATGTATAACAATTTTTGAAATTATTGCAAAGAATGCGTTATTGCTTCCTGAAAGTCATGCGTTTCAAGAAATTCGCCAAAATTCATGCATACCAAGCACGCAAGCAAAATGAGAAATAACGAGATATGTACTCTCACTTTTAAACGGATAAAAACGCAGACACCGTGCTAATTTCTGGCAGCTGGTTCGTGCATATCAAATCTATTTGTACAATTGGCATCGGCGGCTGTCACGCGACTAAATCTTACACTATTTGATATGATGTTGGGTTTGTGTGTGCGCGGGGGGGCAGGGGTATGGGGGTATGTTTTTTCTTCGAAATGAGGTAAGTAATGACTTTCTCTAAAAAAAAACTACAAACCAACTAGTGTATAAAACTATTTTGTTTTGGACATATCTTCGGAATCATTACGACGTCATTTCCTTAATAACATAATAAAATAAAGTCACTATATGAATCATATGGGTAAATTTTTAAGCTGGGTATATATTTAAAAATGAGCTTTATACTTCCACAAAGACCTAAAAGACCAGACTTATGTAGACGAATTGATTTTCAATATTTTAATGACGTCATCACGATACAGAAAAGAAAATAATTTGTCATATTATGTTTAACTAAATAAATACTGCTGTTGCATACGAAAATAAATATGAACAGTCTATTGTTATCATTCTTATTAAGAGACCTCCGTGGCCGTTGAGATTGAGGGCGCTGATTTCGAGCTACTTCGAGCAACCACTTCAAGCAAAAAATAAAGACCTTCAATTATTATTAATATTGTAAATCTGTTTATGTTATTAGTTATAAATATATATTTAGATTTTATTTGGTTAAATGTCCCTATATAAACGGTTGTTTGGAAATATAACCCGAGCCGCTGCTCAAAATATTTATAACAAATTTATAATACAGTAAGCATTTAATTTTTTCAGAGAAAAAAGTAAGATGACTTAATAAAATGACAGGAGCCGTAAATATTTTAAGTTATAAAGAGCCGATGGGCAAGGGTTATATTGTAAATATATTGCAAATATCCGTTAATATACGGTCATATAACCTGTCCGGAATATTTATAACGAATCTATGATGCTGAAATAAACTTCATTTCTTAGAGAAAAAAAAATGAGATTTCTCCAAGAATTGAAAGCAGCCGTGTATTATTATTAGTAAGATCGTTGACAGGTTATATGGCCCTATATAAACGGCTATTTGTAAATTTGACCCGAGCCGTTAGGCGAATGTTATATTGCAAACAGCCGTTTTATATACGGCCATATAACCTGTCAACAATCTTTATAACGAATTTATAATACAGCTAGCATCATTTTTAGAGAACAAACGTAAGATTTCATCATAAATCGACAGCAGTCGTGTATATAAAACTATATAAACGTCACGATTATCCATTGAAATGCGACGTTACAAACGTGCAGTATTATAAAGTGACGTTTATAAAGTTTTATATTTTTCTCAAAAAAAGGAACTTACTGTTATCCGTTATAAATTTTAATGACAGATTTTATGAACGTATATAAACGGTTGTTTGCAATATAACCCTCGCTTGGCGGCTCTCGCTTGGCGGCTCGGGTTATATTTCGAAAAAGCGGTTTATATAGGGCCATATAACCTGTCAAAAAAGTAAAAACTAATAATATAAACGTCACGATTATCCAATGAAAAACGACGTTACAAACGTGCTTTTTATAAATACTTTGTTACTGGTAACTTTATTAAGATCCACATTTCATACCATTTATTCTTAATATTCGCTTACAGCAGTATTTCAGTAACATCAGTTTTCTGTTGCTTAAAGCGGCATTCAGTTTTTATTTTCTGTTTCATAAACAAGTCTGTGTCATTTCAAACTAAGTATTTCAGTATTTCTATCTTTGAAAAATTTAGGGCAGTTTCCGGGGAGCTATTTATAACGAGTAAAATATAACGAGTAAAATACATTCGTTTCTAAAAATTGAAGATCGGAAAACGAATCGTCCGCTTTACTTATTTAAATATAGAGAGGGCCGGTTGATTAGAATTATAGATGGTTTTCCTTTATTGTTGAACTATTCAATCGTCGGGAAATTGCATTTTCCACCTTAGTTCTTTAGATATGACAATTAAATGAAATAATTTATGCAAAAATAACATATTTAAAAGTTGAAGGCTGCTTTAATGTTATTACACTACACTTACATTATTATTTCATCCTAAAGATTTTCTAACTGGTCTGCAAAATTAGATTACAACGTTTTGTATTTCAATTTGTAATTGACGATTTATTGCCATAAAGATAAAACTCAATGCAAATAGTTCTGAATAAACCAATATTTACAAATATTTATATTAACAAAAGAATGAAAATATAAATCCCACTTATCTAAGATGACATTTGAAGCGTTGTTGAAAAGTTTTTTATATATAATTATACGCAAATATAAAACTTACCTTATGAAAATAATGAGACCAAGTTCGGGCAAATCTGACCGAATTAGCTGCCATGAAGATTGTACAAGTTCTATTTGCTCTGGTGATAAACATGTATTCAGCTGGTTGCTCTTTCGGGGTTTATCCAAACTATTTCTTACAATTCTATTTCCCATAGTTTCACTATTTTAAGTGAAGGAAACAAACTTGTCTTGGAAATTAACACCATTAATAAAAAACAGCATCTTTTTATCTAAATCATGATTTAAAGACCTGATTATCTCAATGAATATTTTATTACAATAATGCACGTAATATTCCTGTTCACAGTTTTAAACATCCAGTTAGTTACATTCACTTCATAATAGATTTAACATACTTTCAGTTGAGTAGTTTCACTTAGATAAATGTGTAAAACACGCCTGTTGTCTGCTTTCCAATACCTTACAATAACAAATCTGTTTCCCGATTTCTTTTACAAATCTTGTATACTGCCTGCGATATTAATTGAGCATATCATCAATGTCTGTTTCTTTATACGAAATTTCTACAATAAGGTGTAACTATTATTTTACTATGCTCTTTTTAATGAGCCGAGATCAGAAAAAAAAGTACATGTACTGAATAATCGGCATCTCCATTTGATAAATAACTTCATAAAAACATATCATCAATGAAAATAATGGAAACAAGAGTTATTGGTAGGACAGCGTGCTTCACTCCTTCTCAGTGTTTTTGAAAATAAAACAAGAGACTGAATAATGTTGAATTTTCTAATTTCAAAAATTGTCATAATTCTGTCATGTTACAGTTATGGGCCTTGAACAGTGACCTCCTAGTATGCACTAAAATAAGCGCGTAAAGTTTTAAGTTAAAACCCATTCCTTTCAATAGTTTTGAACGCAAAAAAAAATCTTACCAAAAGTCTGACTGACACCAAAACATGGGTGAGTACAATAGCCGTCCGTTTTCTTCGAATAGTGGAGCTTAAAATTTACAGGTATTGAAATACAAACCAATAGAAGCATCGGATATGTGATAATGGGTTACAGCTTCAATATTAGTATTTTCAAATCAACTAACAAAATGAAATAACCGTTTGTCTATAAAACATTTACAAGTTACATGGAGGTCTCGGTTAATATCTCGGGGTTTTAACTCATGCGGCTAGCGATCATTAGCTTACTAGTGCAACGCGTTAACCACTTGGCCATGCCGCCACACTTCACCTTTCAATACAGTGTCTCAGATTTCTGGAGTGTGATAAAATGTATATTAGAAAAGTCTATAACAGTTCGTAAGCAGCATAATGACGTCGTCCTAAGTATGCAACATATTCAAACAGGCGCAATAATGACGTTATTGTAAACTGACATGAGTTGGGTTTAAAATATGATTAACCAAGCACCTATAAACACAAATTAAAAGTAATAAATCTTTAATAAAAAGGTGAAAGGGTGCCTATATTTTACTCTCTGTTAGTGTTATATATTGCAAATAATATAAAATTTATTTCAATGTCTTTCATTGAGAAAATTAATATGAATAAAAATCAACAGAAAGTCGTGTGGTACACATGTCGTCTTTTTAGTAAATGGCGTCTGAAAAAAGTGCGACTTCAACAATGTCATGAAATGGGCTACGATGTGCGCTGGATAGACCATAGTGACCAATTTGTTTTTGTATTTTTTCGATGACTTTTATTTTTTATTCTAATGTTTTGTATAATATGCTGGACATCTTCTAATTCATTACAAAGGGACCCGGCACAGTGTTTTGATAGTGTAAAAAAGTAGTTATAGAAGAAAAAATATAGTTTATATATAATATCTATATATTACATATAAACTATATTTTTTTCTAAAATTATTTTTACACTATCCCAACACTGTGCCGGGTCCCTATGATTCATTATACTTTTATCTTGTATGCTGCAGGTTGAACTATATAACATTAACTGAATAAGCATAAGTTATTTTTGGTCATCCTTTGCGTGTCGTTAAAAAGAAAACTTTTTAAAGTGTGCGTTAATATTTAATTTCCCGGAAATAACCTCTTGAAACATGTATAGTACCATATCTAGAGAATCTGGACAAAAAAATATTGTATCATTGTGCGCGCTTGTGGAAGAGAAGCATCATGGTTTTGAAATTACTGTGTATGTTGTATAGTGTTGGATATTGCGTTCTTGGACAATACTCGTATGATTATAACAATGACACATATGATACTACGTCGTATACGTATGATGACGTCAACAGCACATACCAGTATTATGATGGTAAGTAGTATTTCATCATTCCATTTTGATATGTTTTTTTCTTTCAATTCTTCTGATAATATTTATGATAAGGACAGAATATTAAGATGTCCTGTCATTTTCATGAACCACATTCTCTGGACAAATGACAAAATTATTTGTGTCAAATTTTTATTTCATTTTAAAAATATTTTCTTCGTTGATTGTGTTATCTCAAAACCGGTTGAGCAGTAATTGCTGTCCCATTGTGAACAGTTGCTGACTTATTCATGCTGCAAGTAACTATTACGATTTTCAAACATATCATTTGAAGTGATGGTGGATGGCGAACGTCTTCAAACAGCTTGTAGAAATTGTCGGCACTCAGATTGTCGCCCCTGCATTGTACAAACAACTCGAATTTGCAAAATTGAATATGAAGTTTTAGCCAGGTCAGATTATACTTTGACCGTAACGCAGTCACATGATCAAAGTTATGAAGGAATGTGTATGATTAAATTTTATTTCATCGAGTGAGCTTTAAAAACAGTATTCTCACGAGTGGCGTAGTGAGAATACTGTTTTTAAAGTTCACAAGATGAAATAAAATTTCATCTTACACAACAAACAAACAAATTTTCTTTTTATTTTATGCTTAAAAACAAGGGTAAAACGAAATTTTCTTGATATTAACTTTAATATTAAAATCTGTTTCACCATTGGTAGCCGAATATATATAAGTCGAATTTCTCATAAATAGGCTGCAAAATAAGTTCGACAATCAACGTTAAAAGGCGATGATATTATTCATTTTATTCAAATAATATGAAAGATTATTAAAAGTTGTGTATTTCATGGGAGGAAAATAATTGTTTGATTTAGAAGGATATCATTTGGATTTGTTAGTCATATATCTATTTAAAAGAAATGAAACTTATTTGAGGATTGTTACAGACGATTAATAAGTGTTGACAGATGTTTAAACATTTAAATAGCGACTACGAAATTGGAACACATGGACTTTTTGAAAGGCTGTCTAACAAACTTACAAACGCTGAGTTATTTACTTATTCTTCGGGCTGATGTCTGTCATTGCTTTTCAAGTTATTAGGCAGACATTGCTCGTAGGATACTTAAATATGCCAAAATGTCATCAAGAGCAGTTCTGCATGTGGAAGGAATTGTACTTTTCAGACTGTAAACATAAAACAAAAATTTAGAGATGGTAATTTGAATGAATTGAAGTAAGTTTTCTTCTTTTTATTACTTTTGAAATTTCAGTTATTTATCAATTTCAGCTTTGCTTTTCTCTAAAGAGCCCTGACAATGCCAGAATTGTCAACAATAATAAAATTGAGGTACGGCATGGGAAAAATCTTAAAAAAAGTAGTCTCATCTTTGAAAAGTGTGAAATTATATTTTGATAATTTTCACTGTGAAATAATCAAATATAAATTTCACGGATAAATCAGTAATCCATTGAAAAGCATAAATAATTATTATTATTATTAGTATTATTATTATTATTATTATTATTATTATTATTATTATTATTATTATTATTATTATAATAATTATTATTATTATTATTATAATATTATTATTATTATTATTATTATTATTATTATTATTATTATTTTACAATTATTATGCACATATTCTTAGTGATATTTACAATAACGATGCAGTGTCATTATTTCCTATTACAGATGATTACGAACTTCTCGGATGCTACACATGTAGCAATTGCAGCGATCCTTTTGACCCTACAACAGCTGAAAAAGTGATATGCGAAATATTCATGTGTAACGCATCATGTACATCGTAGAAGTAAGTTTTTTTTTTTTTTTGTTCTTGTTTTTTTTTTTTTTTTTGTTTTGTTGTTTTTTTTTTTGTTTTTTTTTTTCTTTTTTTTTGGGGGGGTTGGTTTTAATTTAATTTAATTTAATTTAATTTAATTTAATTAATTTATCTTTATTTATTTATATTATTTATTTATTTTTGCTTTAATAGTTATGCTTAGTAACAGAAAGTTTTTTTTCTTCTAAATTAAATTTAAATTTAAATTCTTGATTTTTTTTTCAAAATGATTATGTACGTATGGATTTTATGACATGAATGAAGTTATTCTTTGATTAATGCATTATTAATTAAATATACATTATTAAATTGTTTTTTCTTCTTGCTTTTTTTACTAAGTGACAGTCACGAACTCATTTAATTCAAATTCAACAAGTTCGATAAGAAAGGTTTATTTTTATGTAATATGTTGATAATGAAAGCTGGCTGAATACATGTAGTTTAAATGAAATTGCTAAAAACTTTATATCATTCTTTAAGTAGCTAAAGTTCTTATTTGGCAATCACATCCTAACCAGTCAGGTCGCTAACAGTTTACAATAGAAGTTGTTTTTTACAATCTAATTTAATTTATAGAAATGCTTTATATTATTGCGTTTAACATTTTCTTTCAACGAACCTTACTACAGCTTTTTTTTTATCTTTGTCTAAATCAAAGGGGCACATCTTAAACAATTGTTTATAGTGTGTTATTATATTAAAGATATCACTGAAGGCAAGATCGTTTATCGAGGATGTGGTTATACTAAGGAAGATAGGTGCGGGGAGGATTCAAATGGTGACTCGTGGTGTCTGTGTACCAGTCAGTACTGTAATATGTGGACCAGTCAGAACTCTAATAGAGCCGAAAATGTAAAGATGCAAGCTCTGATGTGTTTTACTGTCTCAGCGTTTCTAGCAGCTGCAAAGAAATTCTTGATTTGAAAACATGACTTGAAGTGTAATGAAATTAAGATAGACATTTGTTTACTATTCATATCCTGTAACACAAGGATGTGAAATGAAACAGGAATTGTGCATATCCATCATCCGTCAAAATAACAACACAGAAAGTAAAGCAATACCAAATTTTCTTATTAAGGTCCATTCAATGAAAAGGTCAGAGAACTGGTAGAAATAAAAGTTACTTGACATTTTGCCATGCGCTTGCTTTTTTTTATTTGTATTTACCAAAAAAATTCAATAAACCAAATGACTAGTGGGGCAGTCTTCTTATACTTTAGTAGATTTTATATTTTATCATCTTTTATACTTAAGGAAGTTTTTTTTATAATTTATCATTTTTCATCATCAATATTGATTAATGACCATGTAATAGCAAATCATTTAAAATAAATTCCTTATAACTAAACTGTTAAATAAAAATGAGCATAATGTTATTTCAATCAAATTGAAACACACGACCAGGCGTATATATATTGAACGTCAGAACTGCCTTCGAGACACACTTTTTAAGTGGAAAAGAATTTAAATTTTCATGTCATCTTTTATTTTTAATTTCATATGTGACGTAATATTACATATAAACAATCCTCTTTTAAAGCCACGTACAAATCT